GCTACTATTGAGCAATGCCAGACCGAACTTCCCGACCTCAAACGTTGTGGGCGGGACTAAGTTTGGAATGGCACCCACGCTATAAAACTTACTTTAAATCTTGCAAAAATATACTTCTGGGGTATTGTATCCATTTTTACATGTTTGCATTGTTTTCTATCCTACAGGTATGGTGAACTACAGCGAGGTGTCTGGCTATCCTCTTGTCCAACACTGGAGTCTACGTTCTGTGTTGTACCATGTCAAACTCAACCAGTGGGTCTTGTCTCAAGGTAGAGTACTTAATTGTGTTGTTGTTAAGCTACTGACTACCTATTTCTATGCATTAACAGCAGACACACACACACACACACACACACACACACACACACACACACACACAAAAAGCCAAATTTTACATTTCAGGAAAATTTGACAACTTACCTAAGGACCATTATTAGCTAAGGAGTACTCAAATACAATACACATTCAAACTTGTTGAAGGGAATCTGAACATTTGTCAAACAAAACCTATCAAAATACATACAAAATGTCCAATTTCAACAATAGGCAGCTAAATGAAAATACAATAAATAGATGCTTTAAATGAAAAACACATACAGCTACACTAATGCAACATTATTCTCTTAGCCACACAAGCAACCTTTCAAATTAAAACCCAAACTCTGCACTTTCTAATAGTATTAGTGCCAGTAGTGGATTCTTATATGGGGACATGTGCAGCCACCGAAGCAGCTTCATGTCTAGAGCAGCATGAGATTCCCCAAGTTGTACCTAATGTTCAGGCTTACTCTAGCGGGGCATGTGCAGTAAAGACAGTAAAGCTTAACAGTATCACCACTCTATCAGCTAAGTTCATTCAACCACCCAATACAGGGAAATAATGAGGCTCATTTCATGAAGACAAAAGCATAAATTCAGTCTTAACTTTGGTGTTTGATGGTCATAATCCATAATTCCACATCGCTCCTGTTCTCCATTTTCCCAGCATCATCCCTGCATATACTACTGACTGTTTTCCACTTTTTGCGTCACCTATTGGCCTTGTGATTTTTAGAAACTGTTCTACTAGTGTGTCAATCATTCATAAATATTCTAATATTTAAACTAATTGGCAAATCCCCTTTCTGCCTCTTGACAGGAGCAGAAAGCTTTGTGATGTCCATTGTCACAATGACAATGAAAAAATATATAAGTGATATATAAGTTTACAAAAATGTTTTTGTTTTGCTGTTATTTATGTTAAGTTTAGTAAAACTCACTCTGTGAGCCATTTAAAAAAATGGGATGAATAAGTTTGCACTATTAATGCAGGTTCTAAGTCAGATACTATTTGTCAATAATATTCACAATAACAAGTTCTTTTAAGATTTATAATTATGTAAAAATATTTACAAAAACTACTTTTTTAATCCTTGCTAAATAAAAACAACAAAGCTAGCTCTAAAGAAAATCTAAGTGAGGTAAATTGAAACTGTCATGAAGCTTCTTTAGTTAACTTTTAAGAAGAAGTCCGGTCATATTCAGAATTAAAACTTCTGAAAGTACTTTAAATATGAAATTATTACAAACTGTTCAATATATGATAAGTGTTTTTAACTAAGGTTAATTTCTTTTAAATGCGCTGTACCGGGAACATCCATGTTTCTCAAAGAACACTACTGCCACCTATCGGTTTGTGACATCACGTTGCGGTATCGGCTGTTGATCAAGCGCTAGTGCTGTATCTGGTGTTTTTCACGCCGCGCTAACAGGTACAAGGGGAGATAACAAAGAAATCACGTTTGTGAGAAATCATCAGTTTAGTAATCATCATAATGACATATTTGAAATGAAATGTGTATAGCATGTTATTACAGTAGATATAGGACAAATTTATCTGGACAAAACTACAACAAAAAGAGCAGACTAATCTATGCAATACAAAATCAGCGAACTGAGAGAAAATAATTCAAGTAACTTTAAATACAACAAAAACCTAACAAAATGGAAAAACCTAAACTTTACCACACCTCTTCTAAAATAAGTAGAAGAGTCCAGTTAAGTGGCACTGGGATTATTTGCAGCTGGGACCCTTGCTTCACTGGCCCAGTCAAGCCCACATGCAGCATTACAGGAACTGGCAACACAAAAGAAAATTAGTTCAAAGTAATCCATACAAAAAAAAAAAAAGGCAAAATAATTCCACCAAATGTGTGCACTCAAATAGCCAGCAAATGTCAAGTAAAAATAATAAAAAACAATATGGTAAACAAATATAGAGTGACACATTTAAGTAAAAACAATTACCTGACCATTTATGGGGCTGCACATGCTGCCATCACAGTTCTACAAAAGTACATTTTAGCACTTTTGAACTAAATGTGAGAACATTATACTTTTAAGTTTCAGTATATGGCCAAATTACTGATTTTGTGTGCAAGTTAAAAGAAAAAAAGTTACAATGTTGAGAGGACCATGGCAACCAGGGGACCCCCGGGGTTTACCGCAGCCAGGGTTAAAGTTAGCCTGTCTGCAACAGCCAGTGGGCTCTGATGGTGGTTTATTTTGCATAACAACAATTTGAATTATGTTTATCTGACTCTGTTAATCATCATTCCCCACTAAATGGAAAAAAGTTAGAATTTATTATTATCTAGACACTATTAATAACAGGATGTGATATTCAGGTCCAGACGAGCTTTGAATGTGGTGATCTCGCTTCTGTTCCGATTGATACAGATTTGTTCTGCATGCTCTTGGAGAGTGTAGTTGGCAAGAACACTAGTCATTTTCTCATTCTTGTGAATTGAGAAAAGGCCTTTGTCTCAGTATGCAAAAAGAAACATGGTTAAATATTAAACTCATTGTGTGCAATGTGTCTCCCCCTAGTCTTCTGGGGTACTACTGTTATCCCAAGCTTGAGTAAAGCCTTTCTTGACTTGCAGCCGTTTTTGGTACTTGCAGCACTTTTACTTTAGATATGCTTGTGTGTTAGCATAATTTATGTTTGCAGTGGGTTTTGTATTTACATTGCATTTGCAATTTTTTGCTCCCTATTTCGTGTGACTGTAGCAGCATTTTTACTTTGCATGTGTTCGTGTGTTAGTATAATTTGTGTATTTACAAGTCTCATATTTGTGTTTAAAGTTGTTTATGCATTAAAAAAACTGCATTTGGCTGTATGATCTGATTGAACAGAATTGTAATGAGCTGGTGAATTGCCGCTATATAAATAAACTTAACTAAATTGAACTGCTTTAGCACTTCTCGGCCACCTTAAATCATAGTACCTATTCTAAGCAATGTAATTGCTATATGCAACCTAAACATAAATGTACAAAATGTACAAGAAATCTCAATTTTTTGTGCCTCACCCATTTCTAAGATCTTAGTCTTGGTATTGTCCTAAATATTCCTTGTTAATATTAAGTAATTTATCACTGCAATTGTGGAAACAGGCTGTGGTTAAAGTAATATTAATAACAATATAAAGCAGTTGTCAGGGGAAAAGAATCAGACTTTGTGCATCCAGCCCAATCAAACAAAAGAGACACAAAGCTACCAGCATATTATCTGTCGACTCTTATAGGTACAATCGCATCCCTTAGCTTAATGTGTAATAATTCTTAATACCTTTTAATGTCTACCTTGTCTGGAAGCAAAAGAGCAATGTGTCTTAACAAAATGAAAATTAAACTACATAAACATGTTTTCTCTCAGAGGAAGTCTGCCCCTGAATAGTAAAGATTCACATAACAGTTCACATAAAAGGTTCGTTCTTTTATGATGCACCAAACCCGAGGCTCTGTAATGGGGTGTTAAAGTTTAAAAGTAAGGTTATTACCTCGCAAGAAAAGCTAATGAAAACACACTACAGGCTGTGCCTAGGGAAATGGGTGCTTCAAACAGCTTTATGCAGTGTATAAAAGAAGGAAACTGTGGAAGTGTCAGAGTGAGATGAGTGATGATTAAAGTGGGATGGGACTTGCCATCTCCTGTGTCAAAAATAAATTCATCCTTAAGGAATTTTTTTTGCAGATCTGTTGTCAATACTGGCATTAATGCAACTTCTCAAAGCTCAGGAGTTTATCTTCAGTATTGAAGTTTCTATTTGCTCTTTGCAGCAGCTTTGATAAGCAGTGTTTCTCTATGCAGTCAAGCACAAATAAGCTATTTGCATTTACTCTTAATGTATATCTCCATAGGTCTTTCTATAAATGTGTTTGTTTTGTATGGAGAAATAGATACAGTATTTTTATTATTCCGAGTTTTTCAAAATTATCTTTTGCAAATGAATCATGTCACAAAACCACCTTTAACTAGGTTCTCATCCAAGTCCACATTTTATTCTGTTTACAGAATATCTTTAAACACAGCTAAGTCTAAGTGTGTGGGTGTGTCTGTGTCCGGCCCAGAGTCTACTCCAACCATCCCAAAAAGCAGGACATAAATACAAGCATACCGGCATCACGAACAGGGTTGGGCAACTGGATTGATAGCCGTCCTTCTCTTGTCATCCTATTCCTTGCATCAACAAATCAAGTGCTTGGTAGCTTACCTGATTCAGTAGGAAGATTATTTGAAATGCATCTCTATGAGTACCACTAAACATCAGCAATGCCACTGAGAAAAAAAAATATAGACATTTAAGGTTGCAGTTACTTTTGTGACAGGTGTGAAAAACCAATCGTTTTACTATAAAAAGAAGAAACTATTTAAAAAATCTGATGTGGAGGGCAAAAGATAAATACTGCATTGTGCTGCATGTTAAGATTGAAACAGATGGGCTGTGTCCGAACTTCTGCCATAACCCCTAAATCCTTCAATCACTTTATAGAGCGAGCGATATATAATGGACTTAATAATGAATTCTGTGAACTGACCATTCGGACAGATGGTCACTACTTATCGCTGCCCGTTGGTCACGTAACTCTGCTTCCCCGAAAGATGCACACGCCATCTTTATTTACCACCGCAAAAACAAATCCCATGATACTTTGCAAGGTGAGCTCCTGCAAAGCAATCGGGGATATATCTGCTTTTCTAGTTACCATGGATGATCTCTACTTTTCAAGTTGCATTGTGGGAAAAGTGCCTTTGCACATGAGAAACACTCCAGTCCACTACTTTATCCACTAGACGTTCAGACACTGATTCAAAATGGCGTAATCACTATATAGTGCACTATACAGTGATTAGGGCAGACTTTCTGACATAGCCATGTTTGAGTTTAATGATGTGTACTCTGAAAGGAGTTCAAAACCCTGTACAAGATTATACAGCAATCATC